CCCGGAAGGAGCATCGAAGTGCCAAAAATCTCCGATAGGAACCCTCAGTCTAAAAATCCGATGTCCATAACCCTCTCCAGCCCCATGGCTTGTTTGGCGGTGGCCCAGAATTGAGGTCTGTGTCCCTTGATGGAAACACTGAGTTGCAGCCAAAAGCTCGGCTCCAGCAGACCTGTATGTTCAGGGTCGGGCTCTTGAGCTGAAGCCGAATCATTTTATGCTTGTCTCCACACAAGTGTGTTGTGATGTTGCTTGATCTTGTCTCACCAAGAACCGATTTGCCTTCATCCTTCATTTCTTTATCTTCGAACATGACCAACAATCAGAAAAGCTGCCATTCTCCTCCGTTGTGCCACAGAATGCGTCTTTTTTGGACTTGGTACCCAACTTGTTTTTGGCGTTTTAACGGGAAGCCAAAAGAAGAAAAAAAACGCGCGCCGTTTTGGGTCCCCTGAAACAAGATACCCGAAGGTCTTCCCGCCTCCTGAACCTTTGGCGCCGGCGGCTCCACCGGCGTCTCCTCGTCGCTTGGCATGGGGGTGGCCGCGCTCCTGAACCCGCAAACGTGCCCGACCTCACCTGGGGGGGGGGGGTTCTCGAGTTAGTGAACTGTTTGTACTTGGTAAAAGGGACACCGAAAGGAAAGACTCCATGTCTACTTTGTACATATTTCCCTCAACATTGGAGATGCGATCAAACATCTTCCATGAATCCGCTTTTTGATATGATCCTCCAACCATGGTGCACCACAGTCACGGTTTCCTTGCAAGGAACTGGGTGGGTTGTGGCAACGCACCAAACGCAAACAGCAGCCAAAAAAAAAAACTTCATGGATGGGGTTGCAACCCTCGTCGCATAGTTTGCCTGGAAGCAACCCTGATAATGGCGGACTGAAACCACTGAAGGGTTGATAACCAACCTTTTGTAAACGGGCTTCTCTACCATGCCACATGCGTTGTTGACTCCCGCTTGAAGAACTGAAAGCAAATAATCTGTCATGTTGGAGCCCCAGTTACAAAAGGATCCGGCATAATGGGCATAGTTTTGATTTGGAATCCACATAGACATGACTGGCTAAGGGGTCAGAACAACGCAAACATGGGAAACAAAGAACCACAACTGCCGAAAGAGTCAGCCAAAACCAGGAGACCTTTTGGCTGCAGCTCCCACTCCATGACCTCCCAGCATGCCAAGACACAGTGCCAAAAATTGCACCTTCGGAATTGGAAGCAAAGACTAAACCCTGCGGATTACCCAATCTCTTTAACTTTTTGAGCACCCAGATCGATTCTTGGTTCGTTGCCATTTGCGCATTTGAGTAAGCTCTCCGCATCTCCAAGGCGTGGAAAATTGTTACCTCTTTTGACACCATTGAAAAACCCCAGGCAAGACTTTATTTCGGGAACCCACAAAACAAACTCAAAAACCACGCCCTTCTCACTCATGGAAGTTCGCGTTGCGCCCGAAGTGCGCTCCCAGAACGAAAAAACACAGAAGTCACCACTTGGTTCAAATCCAAGGGTTTCAGGATGGATTCCAGCCACACCAAAAACACCAAACGGTGTCTTGCGTTCGAAGGCTTGGCGGACAACTCACAAGAATTGGGTCCGCCTTTTTTTGAGGTTACCTGTTTTTGCTGGGAGGAGGGTATATAAAGGGAAACCAAAAGCAGCACCTTCATTTTGGAGGGGTCCAACCTTAAAACTATTGGCATCCTAACCACAACAGCGCCAAGCTCCTGCGGCTGCTTTCCGCTTCTTGGCGGCGCCGGGCGATCTGAAAAACGGGCCGTCGCAGCGGGACGTCGCGGACGGAGCCAATGGTACGCTCCGCTCCATCTACTCCAAGGTTTGTTGTGTGAAGGTTTGTCACAAGACCAGCATACGCAATTGTCCGGTTCCATGTTTGCGTTCGCAAGTGCTTTCATGGTGGAATGGGGGGCAACTCGAAGCTTTGCTGCAGCCTAAATACTTTTGCGAGAATTGTTGTGAGCTAACACCAGTTGAGCTTCATGTTCACGATTCTAGGACGCAGTATCAAACCAGCTGACAGCACGATATATTCTACGATAAGCATAGCTCACGCTTCGTATTCAAGTGGAAAAAGGGTAGCTGTGCATGTCTTCGCACCCCGCCGCTTACACGGCACAGAATGCCACCAGTTGGCTCCGCTGGCTGCATGAGTTTTTAGCTTTGACTCGCTTGAGTTTGAATGTCCGGGTAAGCTCGTATGGCCGGGTGAAAGCCAAAGTAAACCCTGGCCATTTTGAGGATGCCCGCTTGTAAAGACACAAGAGACACACCATTGGAGGCCACAAAGCCGGCCAGAAAATAAGATCTGAACGTTCGTGGAATGGGTTTCAACTGCTTGGCCTTTGCTTCGCTGGACTGAAATCAGAATGGAGTCCCTAGCTTTCGAAAGCACCCGACTCTTGAAAACGACCTGCAAGGAGAGTAAACAAGCTCCGCGAGATGTTCCCTTGCCACTGACCCGGACTGAATACAGGGCTCAGCATTGCGACTTCTGCGGGAAATCGGCATTCCTCTAAGAGCGGTTCCCACTAGCGGGAACAACACTCCGCACACAGCGCAGGGATCTGCATGTACACATCCACAACTTGAAATAAGAAATGGAGACCACTGGCCTTTTTGAGGTGGTATAGGTGGTTTAAGGGGGGGCAAAGGGAAACCGAACACCACACCCGTGTTTAGAGCTTCAAATCCCGAGAAGACGAACGCGTCTCGTTGAAAACCCTTCGGCTCTCGGAGCGGGCCAAGGGCCGAGCGCAAGGGATCAAGGTCAGGGTCACCTGAACCACTGAAGCTCCAGAGAGATCCCGGGTCCTTCATGCGTCCTTCATGCTGATGGCTTCCCGAAAAGTCAGACTTGAAGTCTCCACAAAATCTGCGAGCAGTGCTTCACTTGTGGGGATGGCACCGGACTATCACACCTGTACCTGCAGACAGAACCATGTGAGCAAGACTTTTGTGAACAGAAATGGCTGTGACTCACAAACATGTATCAACATGGCATGCTTGAATTTTGTTTTAATTAACGAGATCAAAGACTAATACCTGCGAACACCTAGCTCTATTATTTTGAGCCACACCCAAATTGTATAGCAAAACACGAGAGCCAAGAGCGGGACAAAGAGGATTCTACAAAGCCACGAACAAACCTCCGACTCAAGGCGAGCTAAGACGCGCAGCGGCTATGACCAAGGCACCGTTGCTGACAGAATGCGAGACATGTTGCGGGTCAATTCGGAAAGTGCCACCTGTTTCAACCAAAAGAGTTAAAGTCCAACGATCCGTTACCAAAAATTCGCCATAAAGAGGTGGTTCCCTTTTTAGTAGGGAAACAGTCTATTTTAGGGTAGGTACCGGAGCAAATCCGAAGTTGGGAATCAGATTCAAAAGCTGAGTGATAGGGCCAGCAAAGGAGGGCAAGGATGATTCATTCAGCGTCAAATCCAATTCATCCTTGGCTACCCGGCACGAAAGAGTGCCAGCACCCAGCCAAAGATGCACAGGGTCGGGCCTCAACTGCGTCTGAGGCGTCCCAAATGAACTCGTGAAAGCTTCAGGAGGCGAGCTTGGGGTCATGTCATACATGGGAACCCCCTAAAAAGCGTGGTTTCCTGTCGGGTTCCCTTTCAAAGCATTCAAAAAGGGGTATCAAAAAAGACACACTTGGATTGGAAAAGGATTCCAAGGCGAACCTGTACAAATCATTGCAACTTTAAACATGACACCAAAAAACATACCCCCCCGAACCCAAAAAAACAAACAACCAAACAACCAAACAACCAAACAGCCAACCAACCAACCAACCAACCACCCACTCACTCACTTGCCTCACTCAGCTCACCTCACCTTGCCTCACTCACCTCACCTAACCTCACCTCGCCTCACTCTCCTCACCTTGCCTCACCTCGCCTCACTCTCCTCACCTTGCCTCACCTCGCCTCACCTCACCTCACCTCACCTCACCTCACCTCGCCTCACTCACCTCACCTCGCCTCACTCACCTCATCTCGCCTCACTCACCTCACCTCGCCTCACTCACCTCACCTCACCTCGCCTCACCTCACCTCACCTCGCCTCACTCACCTCACCTTGCCTCACCTCGCCTCACCTCACCTCACCTCACCTCGCCTCACTCACCTCACCTCGCCTCACTCACCTCATCTCGCCTCACTCACCTCACCTCGCCTCACTCACCTCACCTCACCTCACTCACCTCACCTTGCCTCACTCACCTCACCTCACCTCGCCTCACCTCACCTCACCTCGCCTCACTCGCCTCACTCACCTCACCTCACCTCACCTCACTCGCCTCACCTCACCTCACCTCACCTCACCTCACCTCACCCATCTCACCAACCTCACCTCACCTCACCCATCTCACCAACCTCACCCACCTCATTCACCTCACTCACCTCACTCACCTCACACACCTCACTCCTCACCCCACCCCACCCCAACTCACCTCACCTCACCTCACCTCACCTCACTCACCTCACTCACCTCACTCACCTGACTCACCTTACACACCTCACTCACCCTCACTCACCTCACTCACCTCACTCGCTTCACTCACCTCACTCCTCCCTCCCTCGCTCCCTCCCTCCCTCCCTCCCTCCCTCCCTCCCTCCGTCCCTGCCCAAACAAGTTACCCGCAAAATACTCAGAAGGCAAACGCCAGTCCATTTCACTGAGGTTGTTCAACTTCAGTACACCGCTCAACACCGCCGTCTCAGATCCCAAAGAGTCAACGCAATGCTAACATAGCTGCGGAGTTCTTCGAGTCTCTGAACATGAGCGTTTTTTGCTTCAGGTGGCAAAAGGCAAACCCTGAAGTTTACGGATGACGAGCTTCGGTTTCGCGCTCAGCGCCCCGCCCAGGATCTTCTCGGCCTCCTAACGGCGAAAAATGGGAACCAAGGCAACACCCGGGCAAGGCGTGCACTGCAAGCACTCCTTCCTCGCCGCGTTTTTCCGACTTACGAAAAACGCGCGGCTGAAGCATCGCTGTGAGGGGCTGCAAAGCCGCTAGCCGTTGCCTAAACCGGAGAAACGCATCACAAGAGGTGCACCATGCATGCCTCGGGTTGTCAAGGTCCGAAGCGGTGACGAGGAGAACATCCCATGGAATGGCCTTCTCTCTTGGAACGACGCGCTTCAAAGGAAGGGCTTAAGAGTTCATGCGTCCTTGATATCAGCACGAGTGAGAGGGCCGTAAGTGTCCACAGAGACCGGCGCATCCGGAACATCTCCGGAGTCCAACTCCTTCATGAAGTCCTCTGCCACAGACTTCTCGTTGTCAACGACACCCAAAGCAGGACCAGCCTTGCCCTTGACATCGGCGCTTTCCAGCGCCGTAGCAGCCGCAGACTGCTCGCAAATCTCGGCAGTGATGGCTGCCTGGCGCTTCTTGTTATACAGGACCAGCAGCTTCTTCTGCAGCTCCTTGGCGTTGTCAGTGGCAGCCTTCATGGCAGACATTCGCGATGAAAGCTCCGAGGCCTGAGCATCGAACATCAAAGACAAGATCTGCGAGTTCAAGTACAGCGGCAGCATGGAGTTCAGGATGACCGCGGGAGGCTGGTCGAAGATCACATCAGCCTCGATCTCCTTTGCCTTGGGAGCCTTCTGCTTCTCCCTCTCCACCTTGAGCTTGCCGGACTCCGTGGTCAGCCTGAAGGTCTCATCTTCCGGATCCTCGATACCAGTTGGCGAGAGGGGCAGGAGGGTGCGGATGGTGGGCTCGTTGCTGATAAGATTGATGAACTTGCCGTAGGCGATCTCAATCTTGTCCACCTCGCCAGAGAGGAAGTAGTTCTCAAGCACCTCTGCAATCTCTGCCGAGTCCTTGGCTTTGATGGTGTCGGGCATTGGGAACCACTCCTCGGTGTAGTTGAACTTGATGTCCTTGGGGAAGCGCGTCTTCATGCCGGCAAGGCCCTTCTTGCCAACAATCAGAAGCTTTGGGCTGATGCCCTGCTTGTTCAGATCCTCGATTCGGGCCCCAGTCTTCTTGATCACGAAGGTGTTGTATGCACCACACAGACCTCGGTTGGCTGTCATCATCAGAATGCCGACTTCCTTGACCTTCTCTGGCACGCGGAGCATTGGAAGGTCAGCCTCAAGGCCACTGCCCTTCAACCTCTTCACAAGACCCTTGATCATGCCGAGCAGCTCATCGCTGAAGGGTCGCGACTTGGCCACACCGTTCTGGGCGTTCCGCACCTTGGCAGCTGCGACCAGTCGCATGGCATCTGTGAGCTTGCTGGTCTTGCCAATGGAAGTCACGCGGTCCTTCAGTGCCTTGTCTCCAGCACATCTGGCCACCTTCACAGAGCGGGAGTTGGGCACGCCGCCGCTCACAAAGTCGACCTCCGGCTCTCCCTTCCACAAGCAGCTCACAGCAAACAGTGCCAAACCCACAGCCACGGTCACCCCGGCGGAGGATCCACGCCTCATTGCGGCCATTGCTCTAGGAAAGGAAGCGGCTGACACCTTCTGTCCGCACTCAGCGGAGAGCCTGATACCAGCACAGACATAGCGTGAAAGCCTCAACACGATGAACCGACAAGCAGTGCTCTCAAAGTCCGATCTCCAATGCAATCACAAGGTCCTTCAGCACTGTCCAAGCAAGAATCAAGTGTGACAAGGCACATGCACATGTCCTGTGTTGGTTTCTCCTTCTTTTACTCAACCAGGGACATCAATGGCCAAGAACTGCGCGTGAAACGGGGGAGAAATCTGCCAAAAAAACTGATTGCAAAGCCACAAAAGCAGCCGTTATGGCCTAGACATCAGGTTGCTCTTCGACTCATGCGTCCTTGATATCAGCACGAGTGAGAGGGCCGTAAGTGTCCACAGAGACCGGCGCATCCGGAACATCTCCGGAGTCCAACTCCTTCATGAAGTCCTCTGCCACAGACTTCTCGTTGTCAACGACACCCAAAGCAGGACCAGCCTTGCCCTTGACATCGGCGCTTTCCAGCGCCGTAGCAGCCGCAGACTGCTCGCAAATCTCGGCAGTGATGGCTGCCTGGCGCTTCTTGTTATACAGGACCAGCAGCTTCTTCTGCAGCTCCTTGGCGTTGTCAGTGGCAGCCTTCATGGCAGACATTCGCGATGAAAGCTCCGAGGCCTGAGCATCGAACATCAAAGACAAGATCTGCGAGTTCAAGTACAGCGGCAGCATGGAGTTCAGGATGACCGCGGGAGGCTGGTCGAAGATCACATCAGCCTCGATCTCCTTTGCCTTGGGAGCCTTCTGCTTCTCCCTCTCCACCTTGAGCTTGCCGGACTCCGTGGTCAGCCTGAAGGTCTCATCTTCCGGATCCTCGATACCAGTTGGCGAGAGGGGCAGGAGGGTGCGGATGGTGGGCTCGTTGCTGATAAGATTGATGAACTTGCCGTAGGCGATCTCAATCTTGTCCACCTCGCCAGAGAGGAAGTAGTTCTCAAGCACCTCTGCAATCTCTGCCGAGTCCTTGGCTTTGATGGTGTCAGGCATTGGGAACCACTCCTCGGTGTAGTTGAACTTGATGTCCTTGGGGAAGCGCGTCTTCATGCCGGCAAGGCCCTTCTTGCCAACAATCAGAAGCTTTGGGCTGATGCCCTGCTTGTTCAGATCCTCGATTCGGGCCCCAGTCTTCTTGATCACGAAGGTGTTGTATGCACCACACAGACCTCGGTTGGCTGTCATCATCAGAATGCCGACTTCCTTGACCTTCTCTGGCACGCGGAGCATTGGAAGGTCAGCCTCAAGGCCACTGCCCTTCAACCTCTTCACAAGACCCTTGATCATGCCGAGCAGCTCATCGCTGAAGGGTCGCGACTTGGCCACACCGTTCTGGGCGTTCCGCACCTTGGCAGCTGCGACCAGTCGCATGGCATCTGTGAGCTTGCTGGTCTTGCCAATGGAAGTCACGCGGTCCTTCAGTGCCTTGTCTCCAGCACATCTGGCCACCTTCACAGAGCGGGAGTTGGGCACGCCGCCGCTCACAAAGTCGACCTCCGGCTCTCCCTTCCACAGGCAGCTCACAGCAAACAGTGCCAAACCCACAGCCACGGTCACCCCGGCGGAGGACCCACGCCTCATTGCGGCCATGTATTCTATACTTCTTTCTACTCACGGCTGCTTACTGGGTTGATCCGGTCGCAATGCACCCACTGCAATCAGCAAATGAACATCTGCTCACTGAAGAGGAAGCTGATGCAACACTGAATGAATCTCGACTTGCAAAACTGCAACAGTATCTCTTCGCACCCGAACTTGACAAACACAATTCACCCTCTATCAAGCTTCAAGCCCCCTTCACATTGGTCGGCAAGAAACAACCAGGCTGGCGTCTTCTTCTGGCGAGATGGGTATGTGTCAAGGGTGAACCCAAAATGGTGGTCCCTCACGAAGAAGCAAGCCACCCACCTCAACGCGGGGCCGGCGCCTCGGCTTGCTGCAGGCTGGCAGGAGCGCTCACGAAGCCCGCCACCACCTTGGGCTCGCCTTTTGACCACCTTTTGTGAGAAAATTGCCGACCCCCTCAAAAAGGAATCCTTCACTACGAGGGGGTCGATCAATTGTCCACAAAAGGTGGCAAAAAGACCCCCCTGTTTTGACCGACAGAAACGGGCCGGGGAACCCAAAAGAAGGCCGTGGCCACCAGTTTTGAGAAAGTCCTACAGCCATGCCTGAAATGGCCGAAATGAGACACACCTGAGCAAAGCTCCAGTGAGCGGTGTGAGCAAGGGTGTGAGGAACAGCCAAAAGTCGCTATGCAAGCAATGAACAGAAAGGAGTCAGAAAGGCCCTCTCTATTACTGTCTGGGATGTTCATTCCCAAGCTGGCCAGCTGGAAAGCAGATGGATTGAAAACCGAAAAAATCAGGATTCCCAGGCCAAGGGCAACATGACAGTGAGCTCCCCCCCCTGCCCACCTGAGATCTCGCTCACTGCATGAACTCGAAAGCTATGCTTCGCAGTCTCGTCCCGAAAACTCTCGCTCTCGCTCTTGCTCAAGCCGATAGGCGAAGTACATGCACGCGAGGAAGATCTCCCGGCCCATCTGGCGGGCCAGTGCCAGGGCCCGGGGTTGCGAGGTTTTGACGCGATGGGATTTGGGTCAAAGAGGATGCGGTTCAGTCCTTTTGGCACAACCTAAAAAGAGGCTCCAAAACCACACACACACACACACAGAGACACACACACACACAGAGACACACACACACACACACACACGCGCGCACACACACACACACACACACACACACACACACACACACACACGCACGCACGCACGCACGCACGCACGCACGCACGCACGCACGCACGCACGCACACGCACGCACGCACGCACGCACGCACGCACGCACGCACGCACACGCACGCACGCGCACGCACGCACGCACGCACGCGCACGCACGCACGCACGCACGCACGCACGCACGCACGCACGCACGCACGCACGCACGCACGCACGCACGCACCCACCCACCCACCCACCCACCCACCCACCCACCCACCCACCCACCCACCCACGCACACACACACACACACACACACACACACACACACAATTATGTGCAAGGGGCTAAACCGTCAGAATGGAAGCGTGGGGAACTTCAAAACGAACAACTAGCCATATTATAGGGATGTGTGCAATCATTTAGCCCCTTACATCCCAAAACAAATGGCGGCAAGAGGAGTTTCCCGTTGAGGAACCCTCTTTTGTAGGTTCCAGGTCAATCTGTGTAGGGAGTATGATGGAGTATGTAGTGGTCAGACTGGCCACTGCCTAAAAAGCCCTTTGCCTTTGGATAGAATATCATGGCCTACTGGGTCAACATTCAACCCCGAAGCACACATTTTCTGTTCTTTCAAATGTAGGATACACAAAAGATCGGGGACCCCCGCTTGCGGGGCAAAGGGTACTAAAGCTGAAGTGCACCCTTAGCAATTCAGCCACTGTGCAATATAGCCATGGTTCGAACTCTTCTGGGAACCGTCTCAGATACCTGCATAAACCTGGCAGCGAAAAAGGGAGCGAGTGACATGGGCCCCTTGGGAACAACCTTGATCATCCTTGATCCTCCACGCATCTCTTTGCGGCTCATGCAAGCGCTTGGATGCTCCCTCTAGGTTAAGACACTGCATAGGGGAACTAGCCCCGAGATTCCCCACAAGCACGTCTACAAAGCCCAAGCGTGACCTTCTCTTGTCCCGCACATGTTTTAAAGGCGTGGCTCTCTCCACACACCAATTGGCGGGCATCCCAAATGGATGGCTTCACTTAAACACTTTTTGGAGGAGGCTCCCTAGTCCAAGAGTTTGGGCTGCTCGCACCCCGAAATCGTTCGGTGTACAAACAAAAACTTGGCACGGGATCATGTGGGTCAAAATAGGCATCATAGTGGTTGTTGGAGTACTCGCCAAAAGGGGTCCACCATTTTGAGCCCCATGTTCGGTGGGCGACCGGCGATCCAAACCCCACCTTGAAGAACCCCGTGGGCTCGTACGGGGCGCGCAGCGACTTCACCTCGTTTCTTGCGGGCCTCGCTTGATAATCAGAATAAGATATGGCTGTGGCTGTCAAAAATAGGGTAACCCTCAAATGGAACCCTGGCAAGTGGAAACATGGACCAAAACCTGTGGTCCAATTCTTGGTGGTTAAATTTCGACCCATACCCATATACTGGCATGCCCAGAGTGAGCTAAGAGCACGGACGCGCAAAGTGAGACATGTCAACAAAGGACCACGCAGTTTGAAATTGGAGTGCAGCGAATGCAGTAATCACTGGGGTGATTTCTAACGGAGAAACCCGAAAAAAGCCGTGGTGGGCGTGGTGTCCCTTTGGTTTCCCTTCAAAACAACCTCCAAAACAGACGTCCCGTTTCTTGTCACACCACCCCTGTCCATTTTTGGCCTAAAAACGGCCTGTGCCTTTCATCATTCCAAAAGGGCTGGTGGAAACGCAGCAAATCAAGAACGACCAAACATTGGGCGATGAAAAAACACACGTTGAAACTCAAATACAACCAAAACACAAATTCCAAGAGGGGGCTCTTGGTGGCTATCAAAGCCCACTTGGTACGAATAACCCCGGATTGTATCATAAATGAGTGTGGGGGAATTCATCAGTGTCAAGGAGATCTGAGGATAATTCCAAAAACCAGAAACGATGAATTGTCCAGAAGGGGGTTGGTTGTGCTGATTACGGTCTTCCGGACTAGTGCAAAGAGAGCATCAGCAGGACACTGAAAGGACAACCACAATGACAATAACTAACCAAGCACCCAACCATGGAAGCAACCCACCCACCCACCCACCCACCCACTCAACCATCAACCACGCAAGCCAGCAAGCAAGCACGCAAGCAAGCAAGACCAACAACAAGACCAAACCAAAACCAACAACAACCGACCAAAGAAACCAAGCGTCAAACCCAAGGGCCGCAGGCCGTTTCGGCGGCTAGAAGCAGTGGCCAGGCTCAAACACGTTCAAGTGCACCTTGTCCTGTTGCTGTTCCTTCAAAACCAAAAGAAGGTTGTCCTCAAAAATGATGCATCAATTTGAAAGGGCTGTCCCGCAAATGGTGGGTTTCCCTTGTGGTCAAGCGCGCACCCATTTGGGGGGTTGAGGCGAAACTGACCGCCCTGCAAACGCAGGCTCGTGCCCTGTCAACGATCAGAATCAGCTGCATTTGGTCTTTACCGACAAGCACAAATCATATGTCGCCAGATCCATCAAGGGCGACAGGGTGAGTGAGTGAGCGAGCGAGGGAGGGAAGGGAGTGGGAGTGGGAGTGCGAGTGGAGTAGAGTGAGTGGAGTGGAGTAGAGTGAGTGGAGAGGAGTGGAGTAGAGTGAGTGGAGTGGAGTGAGTGGAGTGAGTGGAGTGAGGTGAGGTGAGGCAGGGCGGGGCGGGTGGCTTCTGCTGCGCACGCCTTGCGATTCTCAGGCTATCGCCTCCCAGGCACCGCAAGCCACCGCCACCATCACCTCACGTTCCAAGGGACCCAGTCCGCGAAGACGAAAATTGGGATGGGCAGAGGGCCCCGCAAAAACATCAAGGAGAACTCGCTTGGCATGCGCCAAACATGTGTTAACAACGGAAAGGGAAAAAATACAAGGACTGTTCTATGAAACCTCAGTTTGCTGTTGATCTTTCTGATTCGAGCAATACGGCCCGACGCACCGAGGGCGGCGCCAGAAGTAAGCCGCAGCAAAGCTGGTGGACGCTGGACCTGTCGCGAAGGCGCGTCCATCAAGGCTGATTCATATGCCTGGACCCAATTTGACCATGCGTGCTGGGTAGTTGTTCCCATCTAGTGGTGAACATCGCTTGTTTGACCCCATAAGGACCTTGGATCAACCCCCAGTGCCTGGGCCAACTTACGTTGAGTTCCCTTTTGGCGTGAAGCTGAGTACGTGGAGCCCGAAGTTTTGGAAGTGACCTGGCAGATTGTTTTTGGGGGGGAGTAAGAAAGGAGAGCCCCGGAACAGGAGCCACCGACTGTTGTTGGCCTGGCCATTTTGAGTCTGAAAGGCAAGGGAAAGGAGCAGAACCCTCTGAACATTGGTCAAGCATCCATTCTTGCGCGGCCAAAAAGTTCGGTTTCTGCCTTTAGGGAAATCAAACAACTGTGGGGTGTTGAATATCCAGATTATCAGGGCCGCGGAAAAAGATTTGGCCAATGTACAGTCACGAGCTTTAAAACCAGGTGAGCCCTTTCCAAACACCCACCCTCTCAGAAAAGCTGACGAGGTCAAGCTTCAAGTGCACCAAACCAGTGGAAATTAGCCGGAGCAAGCCGTCGTGCCGAGGCATATCAAGCATGAAGCCTGCAACACCATGGTCTCCTACTTCCCAGCCGTTTGCCTTGCCCAGTATCCGAGGGGGGGGGGGTTGGGCCGGGGTTGCTGTACTGCCAAAGCCGCATCGATTGACTCTCAGGGTAAATAAAAACACGTTCCGCATGGGGTGGGTATGGGTCAAAATTAAACCACCAGGGGACCGCAGGTTTTGGTCCATGTTTCCATTTATCAGGGTTCCATTGTGGGCACGTATTTTTGACCCACAGCCGGGTTGTGTCTCCACTCATGTCACATACCATCTGTGCTAACAAAATAATAGGGACTCCCCAAACC